GTATCGACTCAGTGATCCGTATCGAGAAGGTATGCGAGAATAGAACTCGAAATCGATCTACTTTCAACTCTATTTAACCAGGCTGGTATGTGTTCATGCATTCTCTGCCTCGGGCGCCTCTTTATTCGCCCAATGCATCCTGTTCTACAGGAGAAAGTGAAAAGTAAATACACATGGATTAACCTACAGGTGAGGGGGATGTTAAGGACAAGTCATCTGGTCCGTAAACCGTAGTACTACCTGCCAAATGCCCTTCCTGTGCGCAAACACCAAAAAATTCACAGCCAACGAAACATTTTACCATATTTTGCATTTGCCCTTTGAACCTGTACCTAGTCCATTCAGGAAGGGAGGAAGTACACTCGCGCGCACATGTGCGGTTTTCGTTGACACCCACTTAATAGTGCCAAGCTCGTTTGCACGCCATTCAGAAATGACTCAAATATTTGGCGCCTTTGACATTCGGAATGATTCAGTGACTGTTTTGGTATGAGCGCCTTCTTTCTCAACGGAACGAATTGCAGTATGCGTAAAGATTCGAGGTCCAGCTATTTTATCGTTTTCATCATACCCAAACGACGAGGGGCAGGCCAGTAAGCACGTTGACTTGCCAACAATAACGACAGCCGCAAAGGGGACAAAGGTCACGTGGGCCCACCATCGGTCAATCGCACAACTAGCAGCCAACTATTAGTATCAGTATATTGAGGGATATGTAGGTAAATTATCTTTGAGCTCCCTATTTGTACATGTGTTTTGCGGTAGCATTAAAAATGTATCCCAGATTGTTGGCGAGGCCAGCTGTCCTGAGTCATGGGGTGGAAAAATAGGAGCAGACAGTGAAAAATCTCCCAAGGGATTTTTAGGAGAACAAATGTCGCTCTTGTGGGGGGAGGGGGGACTGGCAAGTCAAAGTTCTTGCGTCGGGCACGGATATGATGATAGGCATGCGGCAAGACCAAAACAGTCACAACAAGCAGGAACAATCACCCAGTTACTCTGACGAAGGAACGGAGCGAGTGTCCGAAACGTCAGTCTCAATAAAATTCGGTCCATATCCTCAAACCTTCTTCCTCGTCTTCTTTGGAGGATGGTGAAAATTTAAGGAATTGTGTGTCCAGTTCCATCAGCCGCAAAATTGTAGCAATCGTCTAAATCTCCGTTTGAATGAAATTCAAGTCCTGGAGGCGGACACCGCTGTCGAGACACAATGAATTAACCACCTATGCAAATTCATCTACACCACCGTTTTGAAGGTCCTCGAATGCGCAAAGCATTAAAACCAGGACTGGCTTGCTAAAAGTTAGGAAAGGGTGGGGCTTTCTTGTAAGGCCGCCTGAAAAAAGTCCCTTTGCTGAGGAAATCCTGCCTGGGCAGTCAGCTTTCTGTCTTGGTAATGGCAGATTCCATACGAGCAGAAGGTTGGGCGGGTAAATCGACCCTAAGATTATTACCTTCACGGCTCACGATGAGTTCCGTAGCTCAGTGGTAGAGCGTTGGCTGCGAAAAAGCCTTCCCTACTCTGTGGGTTCGACTCCCGCCGAGGCCGCGAGTTTTTCACAATTGGGTCAACTGAATTAAGCAAATCTGCCAAACCCCCGTAGTAATCGTTAACTGAAAATTAAAGGGTGGAGCAAACCATGGGGCCATTTGTTTAAGGGAAAATGCGTAGAAATAAATTAAAGACGTTTGTAATTGTTTTACATAAAGGGAAATGTATTTAAAAGGCTGACGAAGGCCAAAAAGAAAGTCTTCAGACCAAGAACATAATTAAAACATTTCCTATTGGT